AACTCTTATTTCTTTAATTATATCCTGATTAGTAGTTCTTTGATTTTAAAATATAATATATGAATAAATACTAATTATAGCTTTTAAATTTAGTATGAAATTGATATTTAATAATTTAATATTGTAATTTAAACGGAAAAATTATAAAAATAATAAAGAAGTGCTTTANAACGGAGAAATTATAAAAATAATAAAGAAGTTATATTTTGCTTTACTTTTAAATGTATAAAAATATAAAGGGCTTGATACAATAATTATCAATAAAAACTGTTTATTACTATAAATGAATGCACTGGACTTCAAGGAACTTTCATCAGAAGCAAAAATATACTTTTCTAAATCAAATTTTCGCGTTGTTTTCAAATCTGCAATTAGACTTTATCTATCAGTTCTAATTTTTATATTATTACTAATTACATATATAAAATAATTAAAAGAAAAAAAAAATTGTTTTCAAATTACTACTGATTTGATTTTTAATATGTTAAAAATAATCAGTCCAAATTTTCATTTTTAACCTATTTTTTTGGTTCTTTAAAGTTGATGAAAAATTTTTGATAAAGATTTATGAAAGTTTATAGTAAAATAAATTGAATATATTACCATAACTTTTAGCTCAATTACAAGTTTAAAATTGACATCTAGGCCAGTCAACAAAGGAAAAATTGCGGAAAAAATTTTTTTTTTTTAAAAGTTGAATTAAAATATGTATAATGACATACTAATAGTCCTCTTGATTGGAATTGAGCTTTTTTTTTACAGCCTCGCAAAAGTTCAAAAATATGAGCTTATTTAATGTTCTCAAAAAATATTTAACTTACAAAAAAAGTTTCGTACAAAAGTTGTTTAAAAGACAATTAGAAACAAAAAAATTATCTTATATTTTTTCATTTAAACAAACATTTTTCGAGTTACATTACATTTAATTTGAGTACTAAAATTTATATTCCATTTTTTTCATAATACGGTTGCTTTTTATCATGTTATACATTAGACACAATGTTATAAATGCATACGTGTGTATGTGTCAGTTTATTTATTTATAGTATCATTTAATTGTAGTGTATATTAAGATACAACCGATAAAGTGGGTAATTGATTTGACACTATATTGTTTAAACCCAACTAAACGCTAAATTGTACATTCCCAAACAACAATCATATTATGTCAATTGCCACCGGAATTTCTGGTAATCTTTTTCTTTTTCTTTGCCTTAATCCCAACTACTTGGGGTCGGCTACACTTATCCTAAGATTCCACTTGACACGATCTCCCACATCTTCTACGCTCACATCAGCTGTCCTCAAATCGCATTCAATAGCATCCCTCCATCTCTTTTTTGGTCTTCCTCTATCTCTTCTTCCTTCAACATTCATTTCTATAACTGTTCTTACAGCTTTCGATTCTTCTTTCCTCATACCATGGCTAAACAATCTAAATCTATTTTCTGTCATCTTATCCACGATTGAAGCAACACCTTTACTTCCTCTTTTATGATCGTTCCTTATCCTATCTTCTCTAGTCACTCCACTCATCCAACTAAGTATTCTCATCTCTGCTACACTTATTCTCTGCTCTACTTTCTTATCAACCGCCCAACACTATGAACCATACATCATAGCTGGCCTCACAATTTCATACTAAATTTAAAAACTATAATTAGTATTTATTCATATATTATATTTTAAAATCAAAGAACTACTAATCAGGATATAATTAAAGAAATAAGAGTTCATGTTGCTTTTAAAATATTTCACCAATTTCTCTAAAGGAAACACTATCTACAGATTTGCATCGAAGCGTTTCTTATGATAGTGATTTTAATCACTGTCAGATATCATCTATACTTGTCCCATCTATGCCTCGACCCCATTGTGCTACCGTTTTTTTTTATCTGAAATCTCTGTAATGAAGTTTCACTTTAAAAATTTGGTTAATATAGTAATCTTATTTTAACTAGAAAAACAAATACTAAAATATTTAGTAATTTTTTTTATGATAATTTTAAGTAAAATAACCCATTACAGGGGGATCGCGGCACAGTGATGACGTGGCGTAGTTGGATCAAATATAATGATATCTGACAGTGATTAAAATCACTATCAAAAAAACGCTTCGATTCAAATCTTTAGATAATATTTCATTTTAAAAAAATGGTGGATTATTCCAAAAGCTACATGATCTGCTATTTCCTTATTTATATCCTGATTAAGATAAACTATGTCGAATAAAAGAGGGATATAAATATTATTTCTCATAAAAAATTGTATTGGTCCTTACACTTTTTAATAAGTTATAGGATTATTAAGTTAAAAATATTAAATATAAAACTGAGAATTTTCACACAATAATAGCATTTGGTAACTATTTTCACCGTGAAGACAAAATAAAGTACGAACATTTTTTTTCCCATAATAAAGTATATTACATTATCTTTAATTTAAAATATAAATAAAAATGAAAGTATTTCTGGTACACTTTCAAAAGTTAAATTGAAAAATTTGTCATTTTATTTTCCCTCTATGACCAGGTAAAGGGTCAAATTTATAAAAAAAAATATACAAAATGATAGGTAAGTATTTATACCTTACGTATCTATAGTAAAAAAAAATATATTGATATGGTCATTTTTAAAAAAGTTATTGCAGTTTTAAGTAAAAAAAAGTGGTAACAGACACAAAATAAAAAAAAGTAACTACATCATAGTAAAACCAATACCTTCTCAGCTTCGCTTCGAAGCTAAAAAGTATTAATATTTTATTAAAATAAAGTATTAATATTAATTAAGTATATTAGTAAATTGATCAAAAAGAACAGTTTTCTTAGTAAAAAAAGAGCTACGAAATATTTTACGTCAATTACCATAAACATCATATTCTAATTACTATCAGGTACTATCATACTATTGCTTATCTACCAATTGGTAGAAATGGAATAGTTGTTAGATGTATACTCTGTTAAATAATGTACCTAGTATGAAAATTTTTATTTTTAAATAGTATTACTAATTAACATCCATTCGTTCACCCATCCACCTAAAATGGTTTTAGCTTCGGATAAGTGCCCATTTAGAATTATATTCCCCGCTGTTTGTCTTTTTCTATTATAAATATATATTTATGAGGGATAAGCTCTTAAAGCCATTATAAATGATTTCCCATCATTTTATTAATCTGAACAGTATTAATTGGTAAATTAAAACTAATGTAATTTTGAAATACTTCAATAAAAATTGTATGAGTTAAATATAATAGCATTACCCTACAGTAAAAAATATATAAATTAAAAAATCAGCTTTTGAAACTTAGCTTAAAACGGAATTATTTCCGATGTTTTATGTTTTTAACCTCGCTACAGATGCATATTAAGTTCCAACGTGATTATCGAAAAAATTGAATTAGGCTTATTGGTTTATTAGTAAAATTGTGGTTGCTCTTCTTGACAAAATCAATATCATAACAAGTGATAATACAATAGTCTATTTAACCCATAGATTTTTTACACAACAAAATGTGTATGGTATAACTGTACGATAGTGTATTCAGTTGATATCAGTAATTTTGTCTTGAATTGATTATTACAGCACATATTTAAAATTCATGCCGCATTGCGTTTTTCAATTTTTTGTTTGGTACTTGTTGAATTAAACACGTAAAAATGCTTACCAACGAAGAGCAGAAGGAATGTATTCAAGAAATTTTCAAATGTATTTTCATGAATGATTTCGTTAAACTCCAGGAATTATTTTCCAAATACGATATAAGAACTGACATTTTAGACGAACATGGAATGACACCTTTGCAACACGCTGCTTACAAAGGAAATGAACAAATAGTTCGCTGGTTATTAAGCAAAGTATGAAGCAACATTAATGTAATCATCGCAATTGAATTAATTCTTAATTTATTTATAGGGTGCTGATGTTAATTCTGGAAAACATAAATATCAATATACTGCATTACACTTTGCAGCATTAAGTGGTAATCCCATTGTTTGTAGTTTATTGTTGAGTGCAGGTGCAAAAAGTGAAGCTACTAACTCTGTTGGTCGAACAGCATCTCAAATGGGTGCTTTTGTTGGTAATGAATTTGAGCCATTAATGATATGTGCATTAAATTATCTTAAATTAAACAAAAATTTAATATTATTACAATATATTATAGGAAATCATAATTGCGTTTCTGTCATTAGTAACTATGTTCCTGTAGATGAAGTCATGCGTTATACATTTCCAGATTCTGTTGATAGTGAACCAAAATTGCCTCCTGTTTTAGGTCCATTAGTTCATAAGTTCATTATGATGGTATTAATATTTAATAAGTTAAATTTTATGATTAATTTTATAATTTTTATTTTATAAATTAATATTTAGACTAATATTCATCCAGTCAAAGTGGCAATGGAAATTCCTCCTGTATTTTTAGCTGATGATAATGCATCTAAAATATATAAAGTCTTGAATATTATGTGTGAAGAAGAAATAAAAAAACAACTTGAAAAAAATGAAGTGATGGCGTTTAAATACCATTATTTAGCTGCTATATTGATTGAAATAGCCAAATACCAGTATTTTTTTCTCTGATATCATTTAAATTTTAAACTTATTTTATATCTTTATCTTATAGTGATTTCAAAGGTGATAAGCAATCAGAACCCAAAGAACATTTCATTAAAAAAATTTTGAAAAGTGAAGTCTATTTGGAACAATTTTTGAAAGACTGTATTAGAATGTTTCCTCATAGAGATTGTACTATCTTTAGACAGGTAAAGTTTTTTCTTAAAATTTTAAATAATTATCCCTGGGCTATAACTACTAAATATAAGGAACTTATTTCAAGGAATTCAGTTATAGTTTTTCAATTAGTAAATAATTCATTTGTAGTAAAATATATACTAAATTAAACTTTTATTTTAAAACAATTTATTTTTGAGAATGTGGTTAGAATAAATATTATATTTATACTGATCGTAATAATTACTTATAAGGATATTAACTACTTTAACCGTTACTACATTATTTTGTTGAAATTTGTTAACTAATTAAATTTTTTTTTTTAAACTTATGTTTGAAAACTTATGGCCCCAAATTATGTTGATATATTTTACTACTACAATTCCTTTGTAGTAATCCTTCCAAAATGTGTCATAACAATGTTGATGTTTGTTGTGAAAACCTACTTATGTATAATTTGTTACCTGTTAATTAATTTTTTAACATATTGAAAACTGTTTCGTAATTGGTCTACATAGTTCTTATAGGACTCCATTGCTCCTCGGAATTTTGATACATGGGTTCTAATCCTTTACACTAGGCTATGTAAGTTTCCCTGTCCTCTTTAACACAAATGTAGCTCTTTAAATATGACATTAAAGATAAATAAAAATGTCTGTAAATATATTCTGTTACTTTTAGCTTCAATGCGAAGCTGAGAAGGTATTAATTTTACCATGATGTGTTTATTACTTTTTTTTTTGTGTCTGTGAACGTTCAATCTCAGCTCTCACTGGACTGATTTCTTTCAACAATACGTCAAAAGATCACAAATCGTATCTAGTCGAAGACATTACCCTTAAAAATTGAAAAAATTTCCCTTGTTCCCTGCAAATGGGGGAAATATCCAAAAAAATTACAAATTTAAAAATCAGTAAATTTTGTCATTTTTTTCACTTTTTTTTCTTAAATCTTCCATAACTTCTTCAAAAACAAACGAATCAACATAATTTTTTTTTTTACTAAAACCTTAGATATTTCACTTATATTTGATATCATTTTTTTGAAAATCTAACCCTTAACCTGCTCAATGGGGGCATTTAAAATAGCAACATTTTTACAAAAACTAACTTTTTCAATTCAATTTTTGAAAATGTTCCGGAAATACTGCGTCCTTTAAACATATATCAAATTAAAGCTATTTTTATGAACTATAAAATGAAAAAAAAAAATTTGTCTCTACACTTTATCTTCTACATGTAAATGGCTGCCGTAGTTAAAAAAACGCTATTTTTGTGTTAAAATTTTCGATTTTAAATTTTCAACTTAAAAATGCTATAACTTTTCGAAAAATGTATGTAACAGCACAATTTTTTTTTTTCTTAATATATTATAAGTACATCTTTCATTTGACATACTTTTTATTAAAATTAGACAATTTCCCCTTATATAGGGGTCGTTCAAAACTTGAATCATTGTATAAAAAATAGAAATTTTTCAACTTAACTTTTAAAAATGTTCCGGAAATACTGCGTCCTTTAAACATATATCAAATCAAAAGTTATGTCGTATACTATAAAATAAAAAAAAAAATTTTGTTCCGACACCTTATCTTCTATGTCCATATGGCTGTCGAAATTAAAAAAAAAATGTAATGTTTGCGATAAAAATCACCTTCTATCGGGATGTTTTTTATACTTAAAACTGCCATAACATTTTCAAATATTAACAAATCCAAATAATATTTTTTTATATTGAAACCTTAGGTAATTTCCTTTCATTTGATATCATAAAAAAGTAGATTAAATCTATGCTGGACCTAACTATGCAACGTCCCCACTATGCCGCGACCCCACTGTGCTGGATTTTTTTACACGTTTTCAAAACTTCAAGAAAGGTTTTCTTAACTTTGATGAGGAAAACTAATAAAAATATGTATAAGTGTATATTTAATATAGATTAGTTAGATTCTATTGTTGAAATAATTAAATTTTTATGCAGAAGTTGATATTTTAAATACCCCCTAATAGGCAAGTAATTTTTTAAAAAGTGAAATTAAGTTCCTTGGATATATGATTACCCCGTGTAGACTTTTTATGGATAAAAGTTAATTGGAAGCTGTTAAAAAATACCCATCACCACGTAACAAGAAAACATTACAATATTTTATTGGTTTTTTTATCACAAGTTTTTAGACCTGTTTTCAAATATACTGATGAGCATCGTAATCAATTCGAACGTGTACAATTATTTTTTTTTGGATATCATTGTAGTGCATCAAGATTTTGTTTTAAATTAATTCATTGAAAACTTTTTTTTGTTTTAAATTTTATAGTTATTAAATTATGTTTTACTCTTGTTTCTAGATGGTGGCTAGCTTAACAAAAGGCAAGGAAAGTATGAGTGCTTTAAATGTTATTTTGGTGATGATTGGTAATAGACGTAGTATGGGAGTTGATTCTTTTGGAGAAGAACGTGTTTGTGGTACCTGTGCAGAAAATAATGCTTCTAAAAAATGTGCCAAATGTAAAGCTGTGCAATATTGTGACCGTGAGTGTCAGCGCATTCATTGGTTTGTACACAAAAAGGAATGTAATCGTGAAGCTAATAGTGGAAATAATCAAACAATGGTTGATAGTGCACATGTAGCAGAGAGTTTATCAGCATTGGGCGTTAAATGAAACTTTTTACAAATACAATATTTTAATTGATAATTATTTAATATATCCCATTTGACAGTTTCAAATATGATGTATAATTATATAATTGAAAGTTAAATTTTAACTTTATTGTACTTTTAGCTTAAGTTTAACTTAATTCTCTTATTAGTTACTTAAGAGTCAAATATTTTTATTTTATAGTATTGTTGTACAAACATTTAATACATATTGATTTGTTTACATATATTTAACATTTTTTAAATTAACATATAA